TATCCTACACTACGGACGCCCTAGTGTATGCACAGTCCTTGTGATGCCAGAAATGCCTACCCCTCTTTCCAGCACAAGGCATACATAAGCGGGGGGTAAATTTACCCCCCAGATTTGCAATAACCATACACCGGCTATTTCCTCAAGACACTCTATTCCATATACCTTTTACCCGTGCTTCTCCTACACTACGGACGCCCTAGTGTATGTACAGTCCGTATGATGTCAGAAATGCTTACCCCTCTTTCCGACTCAAGGCATACAAAAGCGGAGGGTAAATTTACCCCCCAGATGTGCCGATCACGCATCTTCGTGCCTGCCAACGAGTGCACCCGGGTTGTTCCAATGTACCCTTCCCAGTCAGCGATGTCACATTTACATTCTTTAGCGCAAAGTATGTACATAGCAACCTTCCTCCCAAAACATGTAATCCCTACATGCTTTGCCGACTATGTAACTAGTACATCCGGTGCGATTCGGCTAGCTTTCGACCTCTCCCCCTGGCCTCAAGTCCAATAAAAATGTAAATTTACTAATTTCGGTGACTTAGGGCAGAGGATCTGCACAGGTTCCCGCCGTACCAGTACCAGTTCAAGTTCAGGGTACAGGATAAGCACCAGAACACCCGCCTCCTGACGTGTGAGGAAAGGGAGGTTATTATGGGGTTTCCCAAAGGGTATTCAACAGCTTGTTACCCGAAGGGTCAGCAGAAAACTCAAGCATGGCAGGATGAACGTCTCACGCTTCATGGAAACAGTTGGAACGTCTTCGTCGTGGCGTGGATGTTGAGTCAACTCTGTGAGATGTTGGGTTTAGTGCCTCACCTCAGTTTGCAACAGGTAATGCAACAGTGTTCACCCGGAGGTGGCCAAGGTCTCCAAAGCTTCTTGCTTCGACCCTTTATGCGGGTTCCACGAAGAGGACCTGAACAACCTTGTGAAACAGTCCTGGTTCAGAAATTGGCCGGTATGGCCAGCCTCAAGGGAGAAGACGTTCTCCTGCAGGCACAAACTGAAGATCCTGTGCGCTATCACCGCCTTCGTGCCAGCATTCCCGCGAACCTCTGGAGATGGCGTACCATCTGCGGATGGGGTTGGAGTGGACAGCGCGAGCACATCAACAGCTTGGAGCTGCGTGCAGTGTACACTACTCTACGATGGCGCATCGGAAAGAAAGGTTGGCTGCAAAACCGGTTTGTGCATCTTGTTGATTCACTTGTGTGCTTGCATTGCCTCGCAAGGGGACGCTCCAGCAGCCGCAAATTACGAAGGACGCTCATGAAGATTAACGCTCTTCTTCTCGCCTCCGGAAGTCAAGCCCATTGGGCATATGCGCATACTTCCCAAAACCCGGCTGATGCACCCAGCCGGCGTCCAGTCAAGAGAAAATGGGGAAAGTAGGCAAAGTCATGATTGACGGGGGCACAAAAGAAGAGCGTAAGCGTCAAAGAGCAGCCTTGGGTAGTTTGCAATCCCTTACCGTGCAGCCACGTACACGTGAAAGATACAACAAAGCTTTGGAAGGTTTCTGGGCTTTCCTACGCGAAGAGCGCCGAGAAGCTCCTACTTCCCACTCCGGACTGGATGTCCTTTTACAGCACTACATTGAGCATTTGTGGAGCGAGGGTTTCGGACGCGCTCAGGCGAGCGATACCGTCGCGGCACTTCAGGACGCCCAGGACACCTGAGGGGCACTTGGAGACTTTCAAAGGCTTGGAGCATGAATGAACTGCCCAACAGGGCCCCACCACTGCCTGAGGAGGCACTTCATATGATGGTCGGCCATGCGCTTTCACAGAAAGAATTTTTATTCGCCACATCCCTCCTCGTGGGGTTCTATGGGACTCTACGTACGGGAGAGATTTTGAATTTGAAATCTTCAGACGTGAGTATGCACACGGCCAGGGGACCAGCAGTCATTAGTTTGGGGTTAACGAAGGGTGGAAAGCGGCGCGGAGCTGCCGAAAGCGTTTCTCTGACAGTCGAAGAACCCCTTAGGTGGCTATATGCTTGGACCCGGGACTCATCGGCCCGAAAAGAGTTATGTCCCTCGCCCAGTCAATGGCGGAAATTATTTAATTCTACTACCGAGGCCCTAGGGTTCGCTGAGTTAGCTTTCAGGCCATACTCCTTACGGAGAGGAGGAGCCACATGGTGGTTTCAACGTTGGGGTTCTCTAGACCGGCTCCTAGTTTACGGTCGCTGGCAAGCCGTGAAAACGGCCCGGACCTATGTTGACAGTGGATTAGCGGCACTAGCACAGATGCGTTTACCTTGTTCCAGTCAGAATAAGTACTACCTTCTCCAATTTTTGAATTCAAAACAACATGTCATTCCGTCGCTTGAGCCTGCCCTTAAAAAGGGCAGGGCAGGGGGCGGTGGAAGAAAGGCTAAGAAGAAAGCCAAAGACAAGAAAACCAGAGTGAAAAGAGCAGTTTTCGCGCAGAGAGCGAATCGTTTTTTAATCCCACCATGAGGTTTACTTTCCTTCGGTTTGGCGGAGGGAGTAAACATGGTGGAAAACCCGTCCTTCGAGCTAAGAATGTTCCTCCGGTGTGGCGGAGGCATTCTTAGGGAGGACGTTTAGACCCGAGAGAGGTCTATGAGGGAATTTTCACCTTTTAACGGTTTCTTTATTTGACAAATCAGGTCTTGCGAAGAAAAGGGAGACAACGGAGGGGGAATGAGCCTTTATATATATATATATTAATATATACTGTATAGCATAGACTATAGATGCAAAGCAGCATTTGAACTGGGATTGTTTTACTATTAAGTTGCTACTGTAATCAATTAGGAGCTCTTAGCTCTTACTCAAGAGGGCTCATTCTCACCCATAAGCCGTACAACAATGTTGGACGATGTGCATATCCAGTGCTTTCTAGCCACGCAGCCATGCAGCCGGTTTGATCCCAAGAGAGTCTGCGAAAGTACTTCTAGATAAACTTCTGTTTCTGTTTGCATGAGACCATGCCTTGTAAATCTTTGTCATACTTTTGCCACGATGAGACCATACTGTGAGCTTCTTCAATTCGGAAGATGTTTCAAGCATGAGAAAGGTATCCAGGAGCGAGGAAGCTGCCTGGTCATGGCTTTCTTTGCAGCACCTTCCTCAGGCTATGCGTAGCGTACCACTTCGCAATATAGACCAACGGTGACTAAAGTATGAATGGTGCAAGTGAAGGACTTCAGGAATGTCTTGTTTCCCCAGGCCCGAGGTTGCAGCTCTCCTAGATTTGGCTGAAGCTGGGGAAGAGGAGCGGGCAGCCTTGAAAGGCCTTGCACCACAACATGTTGCTAAATGAAGTTGTTTCGAATGTCAGGAGAAAGCGAAAGATCAGCTGGCGCAGGTCGTGAAGACCATCCTTTTTCCCGAGCCAAGGACCATCCAAGCCCTTTTGGCACTCTACGCCAAGGGGGCGCACGACATCAAACAACCACTATCAACAGCCTGAGGATCGAGCCTCCAACCAAGTTCCGTCGAGTAGAGCCTGCAAGCGAAGATGTTACTTGGAGGCATCAGTTGTCGCACTCCGTGGAGCCTTCAACAAACCTGCACACGACTTTCCCGTTGGAACCTGGGCCAAGGCACCCTTACAGATCGACAAGGCATGGAAGTGTAAGTTTCGCCTTTTCACGACTCTGACGCTATGTGTCACCTACATTGAGTGGTCTTTGGAACGTCGTTCCTTTTGCTTCAAGACACGGATCTTGACAACGAGGTTTGGGTGTATATATAACTATATATATAAGCATTATGAAGAGCAGCATCCCTGTGCATGTGGGTTTATTCCAGCCTTTGAAGTCTACACCTTGACGTTTGGACATACATGAATCTCGTTGCGGGCAGCTTTTAGTCCTTCTTTATGTCTTGCGGCATGCCTGGGCACAGTCCCAACACCTCGTCCTTCCTTTCTCATGTTGTTTGCAGCTGTCCTTGCACGAAGGCACCTGCAGCTTTCTGATGTGTGTTTGTTTTGGTGAAGTGAGACCCCTAAGCAAGGAGTTTTCGTCTATTGACTGTTTCTTTTGCCGATGGAACGGGTTCCCCGTTCCAGAGCATTGGTAGGTGTTTTGGCTTGCAAAGTGCGCTCCCGTTCTTTCGATGTACCTGTCCAGAATGGTTGGGTACATTTGGGCACTATGTTGCAGGTGGCCTGTTGTGCTTTTACATGTTTTTACCCTTCCTGGTCTACTTTTGGTTTTGCTGTTTCTAAGCTGCTTGTTGTGTTGACTTGAGTGAGAGCTCGGTCAGGGCGGTGGTGTTGCCGTGTTCTGGCCATCCGCTGTCCATTCGCAACCAGCGTTGCGTCACCTGCGCCTTTTAAAGACCTGTTGCAGCGATCCCCTCACTTTCTGAACCTTCAGTCTTAGGTCCTCGGTGCATTGTATTTTGTGGATGTGCTTGAGATGTATCGTGAGATCAGTCGTAGGGCAGCCAGTGGTCCTTCCAATTTTGCACACCTGCGTGCACAGACCACTCCTTCTCTCCTAAATGTTCGTTGCAGTATCGTTTTTTCGTGTTCAGCTTTGAAGTACTTGAGTCCTTGAGTGAACATCAAAAGAGCAACCGTTTCAATTCCTTCTGTGACTGCGTGCGCATTCTCAAAGGCAGCCAGATGTGTTTGCATCGTATTCTCTGGTGTGGGCCTTCCTTTTCCATCCTTTTTTCCCTTTGTGAACTTGCTTCTGACCAGTTCAAGGTATGCGAGGGGCTGGCAAAACAACCCTGTGCACGCTATTGCAGAAGGCGCGCGCATTTAGAGTCGGTGTTCAAACCTAAGTTTTTTCGTGAGATGTCCCCACGTAGGTAATGGGTGGTGTTCACCTTCACTATGATGAGATTATCAGCGGATCAGAGCGGGGCACATACCAGAAAGTCTTCCGAAGTAACTGGGCACAAAGAGGGGCCTGTTGCTGCTGCGTGGCAACCATGGTCAACCAAGAGTTGCCTGGCAGTCACATCCGAGGGGCTTTATTGCGTGCCCTGACTGAAAAGCTGAAGCGAACGAGCGCAAGGCGTTCCCAAGGTCAGGCCAACAGAAAGACAGAGACAGATACAGTATATTGACAGGTTCCACTGAGAGAGAGAGAGAGAGGAGACAGAGAGTCGGAGCATGCAGATGCAGGCTCTGACCCCGCAGCAGAAGAGCTTCAGGCTTTGTGGCTTGATTTGTCCACTCATTTGCTCCTGCCAGTCTGTGGTTTTCATGCAGGACCGGTCGATGGGGGAGACACCCGACAAGCTTGCAATGAGAGTCGCTTACGTTGACAGGACGGGCTGAAGTGGTGCCACCACGTATGTCTCTTCAGAAGTGTGCTACTTGAGGACCAACATCCTGAAAAACCAACGCGAAGACATCACAGCAGTGTTGCAACGGCTGCAGTGGAAGAAGCGCGACTGCAGGACTTTTCTGGTGCAACGAATAGGTTTACCATAGAAGGACTCCTCACGATCCGGTTCGTGTGTGCAGGACTTTGCTGGTGGACTTTCGCCATAGTACGGATGTGTTTGGCCATGGCGCGGATGGTCAATTTTCCAAGCGCTTCGGAAAAAGTCACATTGCTTTGTGCACCGACCGTATTGAGGGTCGAGGTGTTGCGCACCATGCGCTTCGTCCCTCAGCAAAGCTTCCACATGTTCTACAAAAGGACTGCTGGGCAAGTTTGGATTCCGAGAAGAGCTGCAACCATTTTACAATCCATTTGGATGCTACCGGCTATCCAAAATGAGTGTGGTCGACCACAGAAAACCCATTTCGTTTGACTAATTTAGTTTAAGGGTCATTTGAACTGAGTCTGAAATAAAATGGTTAGCACGGATGGATTTGCACAATTGCCAAATTGGCCAGTTGTTTTAACTATCATTGTGATAAAGTTGTTTTTGTTTCACTTTTCAGATTAAATTACTTGTGCAGACCTTTGGTGTGCGAAAATCATTTTTCAAAACCAATTTCTGGATAAAACGCGTGAACTTCTATAGTCGGCAGCAACAGGAATGTTTTATGGTATCAAGAGTCTACGGTCTACATCAATAGCATTTCACCCCTGTGGCAGGAGGCTTGTGCTGCACAACCTTTGAGCCCAGAAGAGCTGCAACATGTTGATTCTCAGCTCACCCTGGATGTGGCAGACAGCCCAGTACAAAACACGTTGACTGTGGTTGAGGAGCGACAACAGTTGGAACCAATTGTTTGGAGTGGCCTTCAGGTCCACTTTCAGGTCGTTCTGTGAAAATACCGTTTGGAGAGCGCCTCGTCCGCAGGAGCTGAAAAGGCTTGGCTGGCTGACGCTGGCGATGGATCCCAGGGCGCTTGCCTTGAAGGCACGTACACCGGACCAGCCGACGAGCCGCTCAAAACCGCGCATGGACCTGACTACTAGGAGCAAAGGGCATCACTACTAGGAGCAAGGATGCTGCTAGGGGCTCCTGGCCTTACTGCTAGGAGCAAGAACGCAATGTGTCCACACCCCAAGCTTGAGACTTCAAGACACGTTTCGACTCTACTGCGTGTTCATTTGTGTGACTACGCTCGCTTACTACTATAGTTATTACTAAGACACCAGCATGGAACGAGCCTTGGAGAAACCAATGGACAGGTCCCTGAACCTGGCGCATTAGTGAAGTTCATTTGTTAACTCACTGGCTTGCAACTTATGGCTGCAAAACTGGGAGCCTTGCTAGCCAGGGCCAAGATCTCTCAGGGTTGGAGACCAAATCTCTCAAAATGGTTGAGTGTCCCAAGGGTACATGAAGACAGTGTGTAAGGCTAGGCGAACTCTTCAGAAGAAGGCCACTCACTGCCCACCCCACATTTTTGAGCAAGATCAAAAACACTTGCCCGCCGTTTCACCCGCCTTTTCCCAGTTTTCTAAATGAACATTGGCCAACGTTGTCCAAGAGTTGGTCTCCTCCACCTTGACTCCTGCAAACAAAGGACCTTAGTTTAGTAGGATCAGAAGGCCACGACCAAAAGGTTTTGATTACTACTCACTTACACTTCAGAAGTTCAGCACAAGAATTGGCTTTTACAACAGTGGCCCTTTATGTTGGCACGCTGCTTTGGAAACTGGTGCCGAACAGAGCGAGAGAGGGAGAGAGAGACAAGCCAACGACAGACAATTCGACGATCCAAGTTTGCAATGACTTTGTTTTTGTTGAGTCGGCCCGCACCATTGCCAGGTGGAATTGGAGTGGCAGGTCTACAATAAAGCTCAAGCGGCTTGGCGTTTGCAAGCTTCTGATGGCAAAGAGAGACATGAGTGGCTGGAACAGTGCCGACAAGCTGCTCAAGAGCAAAAGGCTGCTGGTGAGGCTGGACACGCATGTCATCAATCCCTCCAGGACCCCTATGGTCTCCTTTGCTCTATGGTTTTGTGCACTGTGCGTTGTCTATTTCATTCTATTTCCATGCCTATCCTTACTATCCAGAAGCAGTAAGTTTATTTTGATGCGTTTTAGCATGTTTTAGCATGGTCAGAGTCCCAAATAGTAATCACCTGATCTTCATTTAGCCTGGTCATGGTATGGAGTGGGCCCTTGCTTGTCCAGGTCCAGGACATCTATATATCCCGTATACTGACTATGCATAGTTATTTAATATATATATAACTATAACTAGTATATCACTATTTTTGAAACACACACACATAACATATATATATATACTTCAAACAGCTGTTTAGTTATGTTTTAGCTTGCGTGTCAGCATGGTGCCCGGATTGACATGGTTTAAAAGTGATGGGGTGCACTTTCAATGCTTTCCTCTTAGTCAAAGTCGAAATGGATGCCCCATGCCGATACTTTGGGAGTGTGTGGACCAAAAACAATCAAAAACAGAAGGGGTTGGCTATGATACGGTAAGGAGTATAACAGCTTCAAATTCTGCACCGTGATTTGGTCTGAAATCCCTGCGAGTGAATTGCAGGCATAACAGCACCATGAGCCACCCAGAGGAATGTTGTCGCAAGCTTCAACTTTGCAGCACGTCGGTGAAAATTATGTTTCTCACTTGGGATGTGTGTGCGCAGCTTCACTGGCCCGGATCACCACTTGGTGCGAACTCACATTATATACCCTGCTTGATGTTGTACAAACCGTACATTCGAGGATGGACGGATCTAAAGCAATAGCCAGACCGAAGTGTTTCCATACGAACCCAAAGCCCGCCACCAGCGAAAAGGCACCTTCAAGAACAAACGTAAACCTTTCGCTCATTTCCAATCAAAACAGGGCGGCAAGCTTATGTCGACCCTTTGATGATGCGTTCCGTGCTTTGATGTGCTTTGCAAAAGTACCACAAAGATCAGACCAGACCACATCATAGAACTCCTCCATTCCAGTTTTGGCTTTCCACCGTAGAAGCATGCACAAAGGGACACGTTTCATGTATTTGACCGCCGTGCAGTCTGCAAAAAGAAGCCACTCAACCACATACCGATCTTTTTTGAATTGACACCTAATTAATGCAGATGCCAATTGTGTGCAGCATGCATGCCTGTTGCTTGAGCATGTCGTTGGAGGCAGCCGAGGCAATCCGCCAAGCGAAGAGGGCCACATGGCGCTTTGACATCCCTGAGGCGGTCTGTTTGGTGGCGGCAGTTTCTTTGGTTTTCTTCCTTCGGCAGGTCCATTGACCGTCCATACAATCGTTGCAGGTCCGGCAAGTCTTGATGGAAAAGAGCATTCTGCCTAGTGGCTTCGAGACTGCATCCCACACAATGGTAGACCTATTGACACTCCCAGATGAAAACGAAGGGGCAGCCAAGGCCTGACACAATTCCATGCTTGCAGTGAGACCGCCAACGTGTTGAGGGATTTTCTGTCTTTTGTGTTTTGTTCTTGGCTGCCTTTCCGGCTTTATCCTGCGTTATCGAAATTTCACCACCCAAGTCACCAGGAGAAGCTGGAGGCAATGATTGACGCTTTAGAGGCGCTGCATGGAGAATCATTGGAAGTGCAAGGGCCTCAGCATTGAGCATGTTGGCTTTCCTTGCTTTTGTGTACAGCGTAAAGACTCAATTTAGACTCCTTCTAGGCGAATGACAAAGATCTTCATCTCAGAGACAACGGCGTGTGCCTTGGTGGCCCTGCCACCTGTGCTGGCAGACATGGGGAAGGTGGGGCCTTCTAGTGGTTCAGCTGAGATAAAGCTAAAAGCAGAGCTGAGCATCTAGGTGCCGCATGTCTTCCTTGGCAAGCGCCGAGGGGCCGCGGGCTCATTCCCACACCCTCATTTGGCTTTTTCGATCGCCTTTCTTCATGCACATTCAAGCCTCCTCACAAGGCTACTGCGGCTTCTATAGAAGAGCTCTTAAAGGAGGCACACCTAAAGATAGCGACGAGTCGCCTTTCAAGAGGTTTCCCCAAACTTTTCTACCCTTACGCGGATCTTCGGGATCACCTTTCAATCGCACAAATTGGACCATCCTGCATCACATAGAAGAGTACGTGGAGGTTTATGAGGAAACTTTGGGCACTTTCATGACAGACTTCCTTCAGTCGCGGAAAGCCGTCAAGCATTGCAAGAGAAATAGCTGAATCTCCGGAGCTTCTTCTACCATTTTCTACCAGCCTACTTGCTGGTTGTTCAGTTGCGATTCTGTTTCAAACATGGATGCTCATCTCTCCATGTTGGTTTGTGAAGAGGCTGAGGATGGTAAAGTGACCTGCATACCAGTGCAAGACCCTCGACCCATGACAGGCCGGGAGATCGTGCTTTTTTTCAGAGAACTGGGGATTCGTGTTGGCACAGGCCGTGTGGTACTGGAGAGTGGGCCATGAAGACAGCACCAGGATGCCGCAGTCAGCAGCGAGCCTCCAAGACGGAGGCCCAGGCTGTTATCATCGTCACGCTACTGGTGAGAAAGCAGACTCCCAGCTTGTGTTCATGGGTGAGGTTCAGACAGGTCGCAAGTTCACAGAAGCTGTTGCCAAAGACCATGTGATACTTTTCTGGATGTTGTACACATTACATGATGTTACATTTTAGTTCCGCACTAAGCCGTTTTGGCTCAGTGTGTACCACTGCGATGGACCTGGGCGTTCGCACCACGAAAATTGCTGATGGGCAGGAGGCGGTCTTTCGGCATGAGCGTGCGGAAGAGCACCGCAAGGTTAAGACCTGGAATCACCCAAGGCTTTCGGGGAGCGTGCGGTGCGGAAGAGCTTTGCTGGACCATTTGGGGGGCATTTGCTTTGTTGTTGGGCTTTTTGGGAGGCTTTGTTTCTGGACTGTTTCTTTTCTTTGCGGCGTTGTTGGTGACATTTGGTGACCATTTTCCATCATCTTCCCCAACAGGCTTTGGTGCATTTTAGTTTGCCCGGTGATTCTGATCACTGTGCTGCTGACCTGCTCCGTGAACGCCTTGTGGTGGAGCAGCCTCGACCGGGGCCTTCATCGGTTAGAAATTGCTGCAACGACCGTGCTGGAGAAATTCAACAAGTCCTCCCTGGACTCTTTGCACAGATTACTGTAATGGTTCATAATGGTTCCTTAGATTCAGCTCATGGATTTTATCTAATAACTATATAGAACCATTCATAAAGCTTGAGCAGAGGATGTGAAAGTCTGACCCCATATAATGCTTTGCCGCTATGCCAAGTGCTATACACACTAGTCTTGTGTCAGGAGATCGTTACTGATTTGGTCAACCAGCTGCAGCACACCTCCGCCCAAGAAGCGGTCAAGCGCATCGCCGTTTACACGAACTTGCCAGAGGTGGTCGTTGACCTAAATGTTGAAGACTTTGCTTCTTTGCCCCAGCTGGAGTCAGAGCGAGTTGACACCGTCCTGAAGACTTTGTGGAAGCAAACGACCCAGTTGTTTCCAGATGTTGGCTGTGTGTTCTATGCCGATGCGAGTGGCTTGTATGTGGGCTACGAGCGCTTGCCGAAGGATTTTCTCGCGAAGCGCAATGTGACCGGTAAGTACGTCTTCGGAGCGGAGTTCCGCGCGTCCGACAGGGCCCCGCTGCCAGTTTGTGCATATTGCCCTCCAGTGGCAGAATTAAGGCCTGGGCAGAAGACCTACTACTTTGTCGACCATGAAGGCAAATACGGTGAAGCATATGAAAGGCGCAGACTGCTGCCAGCAGGGCATTGTGTTTTTACTTTGTGTTTCCTTGACCGCTTGTGGCTAATCAATGATCAATGATAAAGGACTGAGGAGGAGCCCCACAACATATATTGAATGTGAAGAGCCAAGTCAGCTGCTGTTGCCGACCCTGTTTCAGGCATGACTACGATCCCCGACAGCGCCCATGGTACAGAAAGGCTGCAGCTGCCAAAGGCGCAATGACATGGATGGACATCTACAATCACAGCAGTGGGAACTCCATGGGAACGTCAGCACAAAGAGCAATCATGCTCGGCTCCCAGGTGCTGGGGGTAGCTGCTGGTGATTTCACCGTGAACCTACTGAGTGCATTTATGCAGAAGATCACCTCCTCGTTTGAATACGAAGAGGGTTTTATTGTGGATGTCGGATCTGGCTTGATGGTTGCCAGTTCCATGGGCATGAGTCATGTGGCAAGGCCAGTTCACACAAATGACACTGGAGGGTTGGTGAGGTATCATTGGAACCAAGTGCCAGATCCTTTTAAGTTGGTGCAAGCACCTATGAGAGCCTTGGCAATGCGATTTGAGTCCTTTGTCGTTTTGGAGGTGTTTCCACGTCCATTCCCAAAGAGCATAGCCCCAGACCCGCAGCAGTAGCGCTTTTTTTGCTTTAAATTGGTCATCACTGCACCTGACCAAGATTAAGGAACATTATTGGAGAAGTATGTGTCACTCCGAAATGTGCCCAAAAAGGGTAGCACTCTCAAGACCGCAGATGGCCGCTTGCTGTTCACCTTCACTGGTGGATTAGACAAAAGCTTTCAGGCACGAAGGTGTTTGAATGAAGACGACAAAAGAGGAGAGGATGCAAACAACACATAATTTGAAGTGATGATCATTTGCTAATTGCATGTTGCATGTTTTTCATCAAAGGTGCTGTAGCCTGGGCTTGAGCTTTCTTCCTTTGAAATGAGTGACCTCCAGCTTCAGTTTCATTGTGATTTGTGATGTTCAAGCGGTGATTATCATAATTTTGAGGGTGTTAGTGTTTAGGGATGCAGCTGCACTGTTAGGAACAAGACAAGACACCGCCATCACAACAATCCAGACGACCGACAACAGCGCCAGCAGCAGCACAACAACAACCTCGCTTTCATCGTCCTCATCCTCATCCTTTTGATCCATCCTATTCTATCCTGACTTACTAGTAGCAAGGACGCTACTAGGGTCTCCTGCCTTACTACTAGGAGCAAGGACGCTACTAGGAGCAAGGGCATCGCTGCTAGGAACACGAAGCTACTAGGGGCTCCTGGCATCGCTACTAGGAGCACTTTTGGGGAAGTCTTTTTGCATCACACCCAAGCAGTCTTTGGACCCGGGGGCATGGGCATCGGAGCTCTTTTGGAATGTTTGGTTCGATGCCCTTGCATCCCAAGACCACTTGGGCTATGCAACATATACAACACAGAACTTGATGATCCCGTCCTTATCTTCATGCATCCTCCTAATTTGTCATCCTCCTCGAGCCTTACCCCAGGCTTATCCTCCATCCATGCCCATCACGCATCTCCACCCGTCCTCACCCATTCCCATCCTGAAATCCCAAGTCCTAAGCCTTGCCTGCTCCAATTGCTCATCGATTCTGATTCCACTACTGCTGCCCTCGCCCTCCTAGCTAGTGACGCTTTGAGGTGGAGTTAGCTGTTCCTTTTTTGTTTAGCTTGTATAGATGAATGGGACTGGAGGCATGAGAGGTTGCCTGCATTTTCACGCGCACACACATGCTGGATCATTGAACATGCATGTGCATATTTGTGCGTGTATATATTTATATTATAGATATTTATTCTATAGGTATATCTATATCTATATCTATATATAGTTATATAGCCGGCTGTTGTTCGAACCTGCGCCACATCTCAAATATTGTTGTTGTGATTGGGCTATTGACACCCTCAGGCCCAGCATGGATGGCTTGTTGTCATCACCTGCCCAGTGGGTGGCTACATGAAAGCCTCTTGGGCACAGCAGGCATGGGCGACAAGAAGAAGCATGGAGATTCACGAGGCTGCCAGAAAGAATTTGGACCAGCGGCAGGTGAAAACCATTTGGATTTCTTTGCTGTTTTGTATCGCGGGTGGTGTTGTGATGGCCCTCGTTGGCTTCGCAGTCACTCGGCCACTCAAGAGGATCTCCACGGACATGCTTCAAATGGCAAAGCTGGAATTTCTCTCGGGCCAGGCCGATATGGACGATGACGATTGTGAACTCAAAGGCCACTCACATCGGTACTTCAGCATCAGGGGAATCACCCGAGCACTGTCGAATTTGACCTCCAGAAGCAGATCCAGGACGAGGACGAGGTTTAGTAGCCGAAGGAGCCAGAGGACTGAAGATAGTATTGGATTGACTCGAACAAACCCGACGGACCCCAGCAGCAGTAGTGACACCAGTCAAGATGAGAGGTCGCAATATGAGGAGACCAGGCACGATCACACAGAGAGAGAGCAAGATTTCGAGACTGGGGAAGAACTTTCAGCTTGCTTCCGCTTATCAACCCCCAAAGAAGTGGTTGATATGCGTGAGTCCTTCATTTACATGGTGACAGGGTTGAAGTCATTCGCAAGATATTTGGACCCAGATATCATGCGCATGGTGGTGAAGAGCAGGCGTCAGGCACAGCTGGGAATGGGGAAAGCAGAGGTCACAATATTCTTCAGTGACATTGCAAACTTTACCACAATGGCAGAAAGCCTGGAGCCAGAAGTGTTCATGTCAATGTTGACAGAATACTTGGATGAAATGAGCAAGCTCATTATGAGCAAGCAAGGGGTAGTGGGGGAGTTTATTGGAGATGCCATAATGGCTTGGTGGAACGTCCCCATTGACCTGGGGCAAGAACACACAGCTATGGCGTTAGATGCAGCTTTGGCGCAGCAAAACCGCTTGGTGGAGCTTCGAGAAACGTGGCACTTGCAAAGATTGCCTGATGTGAGGGTTCGCATGGGTTTGGTCAAAGGCAACGTGCTTGCTGGAAACATTGGCAGCTCTCAAAGGATGAAATATGGTTTGGTTGGTGACAGCGTGAACTTGGCCTCGCGTTTGGAGGGCCTTTGTAAGTACTACGGTGTTAGCATCATAATTGAACAAGATGCTGCCTTCGCACCAGGGGTGCAATCTCGTTTTCAGTTGCGGCTCCTGGATTTGGTGATCGTCAAGGGACGCACGCAACCCACTGAGCTTTACCAGCTGGTTTGCGAGAAGGCTGTTTTGCCAGAAACATTTGACTCACCAGAAGATTTGCAATTCTTTATTGATGCTTATTCTCAGATTCATCGCCTCTATCGGTTGAAGAGCTTCGATGCCTGTGCTAGCGCTTTGCACCACTATTGGCGACAGTTCCCTGATGATGTGCCCAGCAAGATGCTACTACGGCGTGTGGAGACCTTGTTGGGCGAAGGGGTGCCAGCAGACTGGGCTCCCGTTCACATACTCACTCAGAAGTGAGTCATAGTGAGTCGTGATGCCAAAGCCTCCAAAGTGAGGAATTGCAATACCAATGCCAGTTGTTTAGTTGTTTGATGCTATGTCCACATTCTTTGAGATTTGGGCCACTCTTGGCAGATGAAATGCATTTGCTAGGTGCTCATAAAGCTTGGCCACTACATTGAGGGGTGATTTAGCACGAGGATTGATGCAGCGCACACGGCGCTGTTGTATTCTATTCATGAAATGTCAATCAACGAGGGCCAACGCTCAACGGCCCTTGTAGAAAAGTCGGGCAGCCCAAGCACATCCACAGGTCATTTTAGACTACTGTATCAGAGCTGATAGAGCTGATAGAGCGTGAGTGAGAGAGTGAGAGAGAGGGAGACTGGTATAAACTGGCGAAGTCTTCACATTCTATGTTCAATGTGGTCGAGGGGAGGGAGACAGGAGAGGCGGAGGACGCATGGCTTCCTTCATTCGGGGAGTTTAACTATAATAATGTCAGGCTTGGATAGTTATTATAGTTGCGACAGGTTTTAGCCAAGCATTTAGGGAGTCATGCTCATGGCTGGGCTGGCCAAAGCAAAAGGATGTCAATGAGCTCATTGTCCGCTTCTACTTCGGTCAGCAGCTTCGTTTTGGCAGCTGGAATTGACATGTGCAGTTCATCTAGAGTGTTGATCCAAGCCCGGCTGTGACACAGAGAGTCACAATTTCATCAATCAACGTCAATGCATAGCACTACTGTGTACTGTGTACGCCCAGTCTTGGCTCAAATTCTTCAGCTGGACTCCAGCCCTCGAGTTGTCCACAGCGCGGATCCAATTGGAGAACGTGTTCGCGAACGCTGTGTCGTCAACATGGCGATGTGTGAACCCCAAAACACCGAGCTCTCCAGGACCATCGAAAAGGATTTGTGGAATCAGGTGGGATCAAAAAGGTCGAATTATTTCGATTGACGTCGAAGGAGGACATAACGTGACAGGGGATGACAATGGGATTCAACTGATCTGCTCAAACCTAAGGGCAGCGCCATTCTCAAACGTTCGTTTGTAGCTAGCTACCAGCAAATCCGGGACCTAAGGACCTACGAAATATATCGAAATATAGTAGTTACAGTAGCAGTAGTAGTTACTTACTAGTTTGAATGATATGAGTGGAAGGGCACTCAGGAGCACCCATCCTGAAGCAGACTTTGACATATTTGGGTCTGAACCTTTGGGTGTCAGAATCCGCTTTGACGACAAGCACCAGGTGGGACATCAGTTGCATGAGGGGCGGCAGAAGGCCTTGAAGGACCTCTACGCAGGGCAACCTCCGCCGCGGGGGTGCAAGAATGCGGTGGAGCGGCCAAGTACACCAAAATGGCTCTTCAGAGGTCACAACTACAACGGCGTCAAGACCAAGGAGGAACGAGACAAGAGAGTTCTTGATGCCATGGCATCTGAAAGACTTGCAACACTTGCAACCTCCCAGACTGAGCCAAGCGAGAGCGGAGAAACTCAGCAAACCAAAAGTTTACCACCTCCAGGGTTTGCTGGCGGTACTATGCAACAATGGGCCAAGCACATGAAAGAGCTGCCAGGTGGTCGGAATTGGCTGGACCGATAGGCTCTCAACGGCCGCACCGGATGCTGTGCAGCACTCGTAAAAGTCATGTGGGTCAGGTTGTCGACACTCACCGTTCCTTTCTTCAGACCCGCAGCCCCTGACAAGATGATGTTGGGTGTCAAGAGCAAGTAAATATAAAAGTTGGGACTGGTACAGTGTTGAGTTGTTGGACTTTGATCGGTGTCAGACATCCTGCAGATTTTAACGTTGACTTTTTTGTCTCACTGTGTCGTTTGCCAAGCAAACACCCAAGTGCTGTAGATAGCGAATATCTACATAGTTAGAAACCCGCATAGAGAGACTCCGGAAGGAAAGGTCCTACTTTCCACTATCCTGTGGTTGCCGCTGTATTGAGCCACCACCTTTGTTAGCGAAGCTCGTTTGTTTCTCTGCGTATCGGCTCAACACAGCATCCCATAACGGACCCCGACTCAGTCAGTGGCGGGACCAAGTATAGCGAACTAGTATGAAATAGTGAATATATGTCCCCTCGACGCTTGGTGGGATGTGCTTGGCTTTGCCTTCAAGTGGCACGGACATTGGCATCATTGAAGATAATGACTTAGAGACTTAGTTGCTAATTTAGGCCTTGCCACCTTGCTCCTGTGGCCCAATGTTTCCAAAGAATGGCTGCAGCCTTCCGCGGGGCTCTCCTTTCCGCAGGAGACATGTTTTGACTCTTTTGACCGTTCCCTCATGTGCGCATCAGCTGTGAGGCATGTGGTTCTTCTGTTGTCGCCGACGCTCGGCCCGCATGGCAACGACCACAGGCCCAACCGCGCTTATGTATGTTTATGATTGTTTATGTGTCAAACACTTCAAGACTCTTGTACAAGTAGTTCCCGGGCAAGCCGGCGGCGGAAGTTTCCTATAAGAAGAAATTGACCTATAGGAGTGTCCACGTTCTCTCCACCATGCGTGTCCCTCGTGTCCCTCACTGAGCCAAACGCATGCGCTCCGGACTTTTCTTGGCGTTGTTTAGCAGTTGCGTGGTTGCATTTTGGTTGTCTTTGGTTGTTTGTCAGTTACATTGTTGTTGTATGTGTGTAGTTGTAGTTGTAGTTGCATAGTCGTAGTTGTTGTTGTGGTTGTTGTGGTGGTGTGTGTTGGTGCTGTCATTTGTCGTGGTTGTATTCTTTGTCGTTTTTATCGTTGTCGGTGCTTGTTGCTGTAGTAGCCCTTGTTCTTTTTTCATTGATGTTGTTGTACTTGCGGCTTTTGTGTTGTTGCTTGATGCTACTGGTATCGCCGTGTTTGTTTGTTTTTACTGGTTTTTCTATGGCTACTGTGGTCTTTGTTTTTACGAAAGTTCCACGCATGTTTCTGAACATGTATTCGAACATGTATTCCATGTTTCTGAACATGTCTTCAGCAAATGCTGCCCTTTTTGACACACAGGCGCGAAACTTGTCTTGCAGGTTGCTTCCACAAGTTGAAAAACTGTCAATCTGAGAAACCGCAAGCTCTCAGACTCTTGGGCGACGCCGGCTGTAGCTCATTCATTGGGCGGCCTTTGTCGTCTTGGTCTTGGCCTTGGCCGCTTTCACAGGAGCCTTGACCGCTTTCTTCATGGCCGCAGCCGGTCGCTTGAGCTTAAAGCCTGTGCGCTTCTGGGCAGCCGGTCGCTTCAGGGTCGCCGGTGGGTCGTTCTCAGTCATCTCATCTTGTGTCGTTGCCTCCCACACATCCACGACATCGTCTGCTGTTTCCGTCAAGGATACCAGGCGATATCCGGGCATGGTCTTTGTCCATGTTTTGGTCCATTGGCGCACATTGGAACACGTAGCTGATCAATCTCCAGGGCCCTTTGCATGGCAGTCCGCGACAAGCTTTCGTGTTCTTGCTGGACAGCGTGCCTCCGATTCCAAGCTTCCACCCACTGCACATAGACTTGTCTCTGTCCGGCCCATGGTCAATGAAGGACATCAGGACACTGAGCAGCACAGCTCGCCATTTGGCCCGCGCAGCTTCCCAGACAGACGCTCGACGTCATCCTTCTGCCTCGGGGCAAATGATCACATCAGTATGGGAATGATTTTTTTGTGGAAACTGGGCTAAGGTTGTGACCGAATCATTGTAGCACAGGCCGCAAGCGTGCTGTGAACTAATTCTTCTGGCGAACACATCTGGAGGTTTTCTGGACGCGTGTTTAGAGCATTTCTATCCACTGACAGCTCGACCATCCGGCCAGTCATGTGGGCTGGCGAGCCTTTCGGAAAGTAATACTCTGCCATATCGAGCACCCGTCTCCGGCTCATTGGAATTCCTGGTGTTGGAGACGTCAAGAGCTGTACCCAAAACAGGTTGCCAGAGGCACGGTAAACACCGTTGAGCTCTGATGCCTGTTGTCCTTTCTCTACATGGTACGGCTCTTGCGCACCGCTTTTCTTACCGTCTGAGAGAGAGCCAGGGGTGGCTCTGACTCAATGGCTGGGAACTCTTTGAGCACCGATGCAATGTCAGCCTCAACCTCGCCGTAATACGCCGAGTTGGTTGGGTCAGGGGCAGTCGCAGCCGCCGGAGTCGGTGCAGACTTGGCCTGGGCCTTAGCCTTGGGCACAGCTTTGTCAGCAATTGCCGTGGCAGCTAGCTTTCGTTCTTGCGTGTCTGGATCTCTTTCTTCACCAAGTCTTCACCAAGTGCTCCTCTTCTCCTTTGCCAACTCTGTCTTGCAGTTCTTGGTTCTCAGTCTTGTTCAAAAGCCAGCTTCCGATATTCTTCAATTCCATCTCTGGTTCCGCCATTGTCAACAGCTAGAAGAGGCTTGACTTGACAAATGAAACGGCTGCGGAAGTGAATCAATAATAAGTCACCCGCTGCAAACCAAGTCAAGCCAAGTGATTCAAGCCAATGGCGTCGTCATTTTTTCCACGACGACATGTTCAGCCGCACCTGGTTCTTCTACGCGACCTGAAGGTGACGGCGTGTTCACAGCCCCTCCCTTACCCATTGACGTCTCAGCATTGACCCGGGAGACGGGAGCCCACGCCAGAGTCGGGAGAGGAGCACGGACTTTGGTGAAAGAGAATGGGGGCCACTAGTCACTGCAACGCACGCGTGTTCTTCCCTAGTCCTTCCCCAGTCCCAGCCCAGGCTAGAAGCGGGAGAGGGGAGTGGGATTTCCCCACTCCCCTCTCCCGGGTCCGTTGACGACGTTCGCGACTTTTACCCTAGTCCTTCCCCAGTCCCAGCCCAGGCCAGACCCGGGAGAGCACCGCGACGTTTAACGGTTGCTTAGTTTAAGTCAACTTTGCCTATTATAGTGATAATTCTGATGTGAGTATTAACTTAAGAATTGTTACTGCCGAGTGACATATGTCATCCGGTTTCCTGAAATACCTTATCCATGTGAAAGCCGGCTTGGGCGCCGTCCGCTCTTGTTGCTGAAGGCCAAGTCGTTACAGAATATCCAGCTGCTTTCAGTCCAGTGTATAGTACCGCAGTCAAGACAGGAATGCTCATGGCATCGCCTAAGCTTCCTTCCAAAGCGTTCGCAGCCAGTTTCTTTTCTTGTGCAACTTTGGCCATGGCCTCGTAAACTTGCTGAGGCACACCCTGCAACCTTGCGGCTTCTTCAGGCAAAAGCCTGCGTTTCAATTTGGGAATATAATACCCTTTCTGTTTCAGCCGAGTCTTCGTGAGGCAAGGCGAAGCGTTCCGGATCACGTTCTGTTTCAGCCGATATTTGAGTTTGAATTGTTTCTTCGCAGGCCCACGCATGGGACGCTTGGATTCATCATCCGTCTAATCCCAATGGAGGGACGATTCCGACCATGCCCGAGAATGATCCGAGCATGACCCGAGACCGTCTCGCACCCGTCGTTCCGCAAACCTTGACTTGCCAGCTTCGGAGCCACCAGTTCCATTGAAAAATACAGCATTTCGTGCGTTCGCTATCTCTCCACAACGCATTTTGTATTGCGCCTGCCACGAAATCTGCACATGGAGGTGCACAAAGTGCGGTGCCTGCCACGAAATCTGCACATGGAGGTTCACAAAGTGCTGCACCTGCCACGAAATCTGCACATGGAG